AGATCCGGAGCTATTTTTAAGGCCAGGCCAGATGGGCCTTCCAGGAACCAGGAAAAAACAGGGGTATTGGGGTGGGGGAGGGGGCAGTGGTGGACATCCTGCTTTGGGCTTAGTGTGTGTGTGGTGGGGCAGGCCTCCACGAGACCTGTGGGGAGTGGCGGGTGCAGGGAGGGCGCTGGCCCACCTATAAAGGAAGCAGAGGGGTAGAGGAGTCTTGGAGTCTGGCATGGGAGCAGTGTGAGGTGGGCAGCAATGGTCACTCATCGGCCTGCTGTAAGAGTTCTGCCAAGCAGACTTATTATCTGGGCTGCAGGTGTCCCCTCCCTGCAGAGCCTGGGGAAGAGAGGTGTTTGGCCACTACCCTGGTCCTAAGAGGCCTGGTAAAGGTCCCCCATGGTTGAAGGTCAGCCGTGGGGTGGGACACACACACACACACACACACACACACACACACACACACACACACGACAGGGCATTACCACATTAGACATAAAAGGTTGTGTGTGCTTGAGGCATTCTCAGGCCCTCAGGTGAACTACAGCGCCCACATCCTCTGGCATCGCCCTGGAGGGTGCTGGCTACTACGGGCCCCCGCCCCCAGCCCACGCCGGGAATATCTGGGGGTCAGCCAACAGGGCTGCAGTCGGGCTCTCGTCCAAGTCCCGAGCTGTTCTCAGGCAGGTAACCTTGGGCTGAGGTCAGCACCTGGTGGGGTTGTACGAAGTCACAAGAGGACTCAGGACAAAAGGCGTGGCTAGGTGGGCACCTGCGGGTCCAATCCAGAACAAGGCAGGGTGGACCTGGTCTGGTCAGGCCCTAACTCCCACCGGAGCGGTGGCCAAGGTGGGTCCGCACGGCTGGGGTGGATAGCAGCGGAGGCTGGAGGGCAGCCAGGTCAAGGGCAATGGGTGGAGGCCAGGGGCAGGCATTCCCAGAACACAGGGTTCAAGGTTGCGGGCGATAGGGTCACAGCCGGTGAGGGGTCGCCAGCCGGTGTGAGGGCTCCCTTGGGCCCCGCGTCCCGGCTCGGAGCGGGGTCCCCTAGGGGCGGGCCTCCCACGTGTGCGTCCGGGAGATGGGCAGCCGTGACGCACACGCCACGCACGAGTGTGTAACCGCGCGGCCCGGCGGGCAGGATGGCTTCCCGAGCCTAGCGCTGTGCTCGAGCCCGCCACGGGGAAGGGCAAGAGAGGTGCGCGCGTGGCCGCAAAAAGCAGGCCGGGCCCGTGACCTTCCCGGCACGGCCGCAGGGGCCGGGGCGTGGCGGGGGCGTCCCCGGAATCCCCGCCTGCCCGCGCCGAGCCCTGCTATTGGCTGCAGTCGCTGAGGCCTCTGAAAGTCCTTCTTCCATTGGCTTCCGCGGCTCCTCCCGCGCCGACTGGGGCGGCCGCGCGTGCGCGGTCCGTGTGAGCGCGCGGGCGAAACAAACC